ATTAGCACTCCTTGCTTTCCTTCCGAGTGCAAATCGCATGACGATTTTTGTCGGGACGTTTCCTTCATTATTCCTGAAATTATTATTATGAAAAATTTTAAAGGGCTATAGTGTAAAGATAAATAGGTGAGAAGAATATAGAAATGAATGGGGGTGACCGAGTTTGTTTGAAATTTTTCTTACTTTCTACATAATCTTTGCCTGTAAAAATATGCTTTATGAATATGAATTAGTAATGTTATTGCATTGAATATTAAAAATGTATACCATGATTTAAAACAGTTAATATCATATATATATATATATATATATATATAATCAATATCATAATATATAGTTTTATTTATGATAGATGATTATTTCTTGCTCTAATCGATACGTACACATTATGGCATCATTGTATACACACATAAAAAACAATAGGCATCAAAATTATTCGAAATTGTTCATCTCTTTTGAGTTGTCGCGAAAAGAGATTTTTTTCTTTTAATTGGACGTTCTTAAAAAACAAGACGCTTCTGCTCGTCCGTCCGTTCGTCAGTCCGTTCATTCGTTCACTCGCATTAAAGAGCAATTAGCCGCGGCTCGCGATCACGCTGATGCCCGGAAGCGATAGAAGCCGGCCGCGCGTGCCACCCTTACACGCGCACACAAACTCAAACACGCGCCTTCTACGGCCTCGGTAAAGCTACCTTTCTTACCTTTTTCATCGTCTTTATACTTATTGCGATATTCAACAAGAGGCACGACGAGCGTGAAGAAACAGAAAAAAAAAAAAACGATCATGAAGAAAAAGAAAGACGGTGGGCGTCCATCTTCTTTCTTTTCGTTTCTCTTAACCCTCTCTTTCTGCCTCCCCTTTTTTCTACTCTCCCCACCCCTTAAACTCTCTTTATCCCTACCACAAGGCGTCGTGTACTCAATTACCGTCGAAGATAATCATTATCACGGAAACTACATCGCTGGGCCTCATTGCCCCAATCCTTAATTAACCGACAGCCGTAATTGGCCGTACTGGACGTATTTACGTATATACATTTATATATATATATATATATATATGTGAGTAAGTATATATCTGTGTATACGGCTATGTAGCCGTACGTTACGTATGCGGTAAGCATGCGTTAAGAAATTGTACTCGCCTGATAAATATGTTCTGCCAACGTGTATCCTATGTGAGACCAATGGATTTGGATTCTCATGAAAGATTTATAACAACTAACATAGTATACGATGATGATCATTATTCGAATGATGCGATCGCGACTACCAAATGAATCTTGTTTGTAACGGTTGCTTTTTACTTATTAACTCTTATCAATGCGTATATAATTATATCTTTATAAATATACAAAAACTTTTTTCCAACAGAGATCTTACGTTATTAATAATTATTTATATAAGAAAAATATTATAATAATAATAATAATAATCTTTTTTACCCCGAATTGTACAAATTCTATTTTTCTAAGCTTACATTATTATTATAAACTTCTTGCTTCTATAACTTTCTCTTATCTCAAAATGGATGATCATTTGAAAATCCGGGCTACTCCGTTGTATATACTCTTCATCCCTTCTTCCATTTCGACCAGAGACTTTCTCGAGATAAAATACAGGATGAATTAAAGACTGGGGCTAAAGTAATGCTTCCATATACGAGAGAGTCTCACGCACGCACAGGCCAGTTCTCAACGTTCGGTTAATTGTAATTTATGTTCCGTAGACTTAGGTCGTGCGCCATTGCATTAACTATACGCTTATGTGCTTAGATGTTTCTTCTTTCTTTTTCTTCTCTTTTTATCTGTTAATTCCTTTTTTAAATAAATTATCGAATCGGTGATATATATATATATACTAGGAAGCGAATAAAATATTATTTAGAAAGTACTATGTAAATATTTCTCTGATATATTGATTAGAAAAATCCGAATATTTCACTTTAATCTCTTGAGAGGAAATAATGTGTTTTATCCGCATCAATTTTCTATACCAAAATCAAGTCGGATAGTTTACGTCCATTACATATATATATAATATATTACATATCTATTTTCTGTTCCAAATATGTTAATTTGATTGTTTAATTTAATGTTTAAATCAATGTATATGTGTTTAGACAATCTTAAATATACGTAGAGTACATTACAATATTGGATATATCTTAAATGATTGTTAATTAATCGAAAATAATGTCTATTGTAATCTAAAAACGTGAATTTACCTTTCGATGAACCGTCCTCTTCGAAATCCACTGTTAGACTTATACATTGTCCTCTGTGAAAATTCTTTTATTAAATATTGTTTATATGTTGTTATACTTTCCGAAAAAATTCTATTTATTTCAAGTATTATGTATGTTATACATATGTTACCTTCGAAAAGTCTTATAAACAACATTGAATAAAAGAACTTTAACAGAGAACAAAAAAACCAGTCGGATGGTGGATTTCGAAGAGGATGGTATATCGAAAGGTAAATACACGTTTTTAGATTACAATATACATTAATTAACAATTATTTTAATATTCTAATGCACTTTTCTTATGTTACAGCTAAATTTTACCCTCGAAGTCACGACTGCGCAGGAGCATTAAAATAATTACATAAAAATGATAAAAATGATAAAATCAGAACGTTATAATCTTAAATTTTATTCATTAGGTGGATTATTTACTTTATACACATGCGCAACGTTAGGAAAGTCTCATATAAACAATATTTAATAAAAGAATTTTCATAGAGGACAACGCGCCAGTCTAACAGTGGAATTCGAGGAAAACGGTGCACCGATCATATATTCCGTATTTTTAGACAACAATATACATTATCTTTGATTAATTAACAATTATTTCAAGTATATCGATCACAGTATTTATCTCTACTAATACTTATAATTAATTAAGCATATATACATTGTTTTAAATATTACGTACTTATTAACGCACTTTGAATATTAATTAATTTCGATCTTATATTTTATTAGATGAAAATTTTACCCTCGAAGTCATCACTACGCAGGAACGTTTAAAAAAAATATACATTTGTTGAAACAATTACATAAAAATAAATAGAATGCTAAAATCGGAACGTTATAATATTAAATTCTACTTATTACGAATATTACTCCCGTTATACACATGCGCAACTCTTTCGGAAAATCATATAAACAACAATCAACAAAAGAAATTTAATCATTTTTCATAGAAGACAATGACTCAGTTTAACGGTGGATTTCGAAGACAACAGTACATCGAACATATACATTAATTAACAATTATTTAAGATCATCGAACACGGTATTGTTCTCTATTAATATTTTGGATTATTTAAACATTCTAATCTAGTTATTAGTTCGAATTTAAAATTATTTTATATTCAAAGTATATTAACAAGTATGTAATATTTAAAAAATATAATGTTGTTTAAACATAAGTTAAGCATATATTCCACGTACATTACATTTTGTTTAAACAATTGAAAAATAATTAATTTAAGCTTACCTGTACGGAGGAGAAAACTTCGATGATCACACATCGGAATGCGAAATAATATTGTTTTTATATATTTCGATAATCGAAGGAATATCGAACTTCGATCTTCATGACGATACTCGACTACTTCAAACTTTCGGCTAATTTATAATAAGATATCAAATCCAAATTATACATGTATGTATGTGTGTATCTAACATAAGAGTCATATAATCTCTCTCCCTCTCTCTTTCACTCTCTCCAATCTTAAATTACATTTATTAGGAATATTATTTTCCTTACATATATGTGCAACCTTCGAAAAATCATATAAACAACAATCGGTAACTCAAATTTAATAACATTTAGTTAATTAACAATGAGCACGAAATATACGCGAAGAAGAAAAAACAAGTCATTTTATTTCGTAGATATATATATATAGAAAATCTCGAATGCAAAGGGTTAATTGTAATACACGTGCAAGAATCGGTTTTTAAATAACTTTTATATGTTAATAATAACAACAAGGGATAAAAGGAGAAATACAAAATCCCATCGGCGAAACCTTTGTAAACCCTTTTTCGATACATTTACCGACCGTAAAGTAAAAGTCATGTTCAAGCCTTATTTCTTCATTTTGCAAGGATCCAAAGAAAGAGATCGATCGATCGAAACTGACATAGAACGTACTAAGAAAGATATATATATCCACTCGAATAGGAGAGTTGAACACGAGTGAAGAATTCGACGAGCGGTCGAAGATAAAGGGATCGGTCTTTCCTTTCCCATAAAACAAAACGGCTCCATTTTATGCTGATCGATTTGTTCTATTGTGATTTTATATCTTCACCTGTCTATACTTACATTCCCGCGCCGATGCCAAGGTTCAAACGTACCGCGATATTTTAGATCCCTTTATCCCTTTCCTATGAACATCAAAACGAAGCTTTACATATTTCGCGATAAGGTCGGCGAAATACAAAGATTCTACGTTCTTTCGGCGAGCTTTCTTGCACCCTTTTATACCAACTTGTAAGTATAGTTGGTACAAAGGGCTCATACTTACGATACCTATCGAATGCATTCCAGTTTTGAGAATGATAGGTAAAAAACAGAATACAATCGATCTGGTACAAAAAGAAAGTTTGAATGTGTCTTAAATATAAATATAAATATAAATATAAATATATATATATGTGTGTTCACACACATATAAATACTATATGCTGCATTCTTTAACTATTCATTAAATTCTATAATGTTTCTTATATAAAATGTAACGTTTATAACAAGGACAGAACTTGTCTTATACATACGTTCTATGAAAGTTACTTTCATCATTGCATTTTATAATACCATTACACATAATAAATTTGACATATTTTTTGTTTTTTTATTTTGACAAACTTATCATTTATATAGAAAAACTATTCTATTTTGTTATAAAAATGAATAATATATTAATCATCTAAACAAGAAACTCTGAAAACTCGCGCGATATAAAATGATAAAATTTTTTWTTTTTTTTTTTTTTTTTTTTTTTATAGAATATCAAACATATTATATATACGCGACCGATGCACATTATCTGAGATCAAAATTTGTTAAATCTTGGACTAAGTAAGTAGTATTTCAAATCGTCAAAATGATCTCTTTTTGTATCCATTTGAAAATGCTATTATTTTTTAAATAGGACACTTAGATTCGGAAGACCCATCTTCTTGCCTACTAGATATATCTTCAGCTGCCAAAGCTAAAACCTCTTCGCATACACGTTTATAAACCCATGCATCACCTTTTAATCTTTTTCTTCTAATACCAACCAATGGTTTATCATCAGAAACACCTTCTAATAAGCATACTTCTAATTCGAATGAACATGCATTTCTAGGTAAAAATGGTTTCGCATTATTTAGGTCTTCCGTACAGTCATCTGTTTCTCCTTGTAGAGTAAAACTACGACAAATACATATAATTTTATTAATTATTAATCGCGTTTATTATATTTTAACAATATATCTTTTTTCCTTATTTACCCTTTTTGATGGCACATAATTCCTTTACGCCGTAAAGCTCGTCGTAATTGTGATAAAACATATTTCGGACAATCGCTGGATGCCGATGACACATTACACAAACCCTTCAGAAGAAAATTATTTAAGTCATTTCATTAAATTTATATATGTATATTATGTATGCAAGATATTTTTTGTAACCCTACCTGGAAGATACAGACTAACGAAACTCGATTTACTTTCTCTTATGATTAATAGGATTTTATTGATTAATATATTAAAATATTATAACTCTTTACTCTTTTTTCAGATTGGTTAATTCACGACTACACAACTACTGATCGAACTCTCTCATACTCATTCCCATACACTCTCTCTCTCTCTCTCTCTCTCTCTCTCTCACACACACACACACACACAAACTAACTAACTCTAGATCTTTCCATCCTACATGTATTATGTAATATTGAAATTTTATAACGAGAAAATACATACTTTTCCAGAAAGTATAGTCGGTTGATCAGGGTTTAAATTTTCATTTTTAATTCGTCGTTTTGGAGTAAGAACACACCTAACGCGATGCAACCCCCTCTCCAAACCCATCATAACTTTTCTTGCACTTCCCGGCGTCGAAGATTGTGCATCTCTATATATAGAATATTTTTAATATCAGATATCAATATTATTCTAAAGAAAGAAAATTGCAATAATTTTACCTAAATTCTGTTGGTACGTTATTAGTAGGAGTAGATACAAGTTTATTTTTGTCAATACACTTCTTTGTTGGAACTGCAATAAAATATTAAAAATATTATAATAATTTTTATGTTAGCAGAAATATTAAAATGAAACACAAAAATATATACTTGTAGAGATATAAAAGTAGAACATATAAATTTCACTGAAAGAGAACTTCTAATTCTTTCTCTTTCTCACTCTCTACTGTAATTATCCACTTTACGTATATCTACTGTAATGTATAGATCTTGGGAACTTCCATTAAAGTTTCTAATTAAGCTGTTAGTATCACCTAATTAATAGACAACTTTAGAGAACATATTGCAGACAGAGAGAGTATAGATTTTATTACCAAAGTAAAATAGCTTTCTTAAGCTGTGTTTTATAAGAAAACAAATATGTTGACATATATATTTATTCGCATATAATTATAATAAAATAGAACTTACCAGGTGAAGAAACATCATCTAATTCTTTACTTCTTAATCTTTTTCTACAAGGACTGTTTGGTTCTGTGAATTGTTTGCGATTTTTTTCTAAAAATAAAAATACAATTCGATATTAAAATAGCATCGCAAATAACAAAAGGAAACAAGTACTAACCAGCAACAGGAGTTTTGTACTGACTAGCTGGACAATCATTGGTGGCAGGTAACTGTCTAATTACTTTACTTCTCGGAGAGTGATCCAAATTTGTAATAAAATTATTCACTGCACTTTCGTGCTGTGGTAAATCCATTCCTATCTACATAACAACGATACGTAATATCAATAATTAGGAACGAAAAATAGATATAAAAAGTAGTAATAAATACATACCAAGCCCTGCTTAAAATAAGACTTTGCTGAGGATGATATTTTTAAAGAAAGCCCACGTAGTTTTCTATCGAGTAATAATAAATACGTAGCTGTCCTATAATCAGTTCTGTCACTTTTAGCTAATGCATTCCATATATCCGAACTGTGCTCTCCACAAATAGCAGACATAGTACCTAATACGTCATCGTCTTTCTCAAACTGCATGTCCATGTAACAGAATATTTTTTTTATTGAAGTAGCCTGATATACCGATGAGAAAATTATGTTTAAATTTCTTACATTAGTTTTATGAACAAATGATATTGGATTAAGAAAACCTGATGTTATCCATGAATGATTGCACAATTCTTGAATCGTTATCCTTTTTTTCGGATCTCTTTGTAACATTGCACGAATTAATCTTTTGCTACTAACAGACAACCAGCTTGGCTCATCATATTTCCCGCTCTGAGTGTAACAGATAAATTTAAAGTAACATTTAAATGAAAGGAAAATAATACTAAAGCGATGATGTTCTTACCAAAATTTTTTTGTATAAATTCTCTATACTATTGTCGTCAAATGGAAGGAAACCACAGAGTAACGCATAAAGAATAACTCCCATGCTCCAGATGTCTACTTCTGAACCTATTCAAAAATAATTATAACAAAATTTCTGGTTTTTAGTAAAAATAATAAATAATTTAAATTTTGAATATCGGTAAAAGAACCTAAGTATTTTTTGCCCAATATCAATTCGGGTGCAGCATAAGTTGGAGAACCGCAAGACGTATATAAATGAGATTGCATTCCACTTTTTGGTTTTGCGCATAAACCAAAATCGATGAGTTTTAAATTTTCATTTTTATCTAGTAAAACATTTTCCTATAAATAAATAGAGCTTGTTATTTCTATCTAATAAATAATATGTAATAAAAACATAAAACAAACATACAGGTTTAAGATCACGATGAGCATATCCCAGACTGTGCAAGTACGCTACTGCAGAAACAATTTGACGAAAAAATTTACGAGACTCTGACTCAGACAATCTATTTCTTTCGACTGTAAAAATAATAAAATTATGCCTTGACTTCTCATCGATAGTTATATGTCAGCGTAAATAAAATAAATAAAATAAAATGAAATGAATAATCACCTATGTGATCAAACAATTCTCCTCCTGAACAATATTCTATTACCATAAAATAATAAGTATCTGTTTCTATAACTTGATACAACTTGCATATGTGTTGATGTAACAAAGTTTTAAGTGCCTCTACCTCTAATTTAACTCTTGGTAAGTCATCCTACAAATTTCCAATTGTACATATATTTCAATTTGTCTATTTTGAGAAAAATTCCTTTAAAATACAAATAATTCCTTACGCCCAAAGCTGTCTTATCCATGATTTTGATGGCTACTTTCTCTCCAGTTGCAACGTGAATACCGAGTTTAACCTTAGCGAAACCTCCGCTTCCAATGGTCCTTTCCAATTCGTATAATCCCTTGAGAGCTGCATATCGTACCATTATACAAAAAAATTCAATCAATTCAATAAAAACACTGTGCAAGCGAGTGACACTCGCTACTCGAATAACTTTTCAAACTATGAGTTTAACGTAAACAGTTTTTAAAAGCCAATCAAGAGCGCTGCCTATTCATAACTAAATTCATAGCGTCAATAGTACCAACGTTATAACGTTAAGAAAAATAATAGCGAATGACAGTTGTTTTCCTTTGATTTTCAACATTTTTTTGTAGATATTTAATAAAAATATAATAAATATATTTTTTTAAATTGTAATTTCTTTAAATGTTTGTAATACTTATATCAGTTGCGTAAAATAAAGAATGACGTTCGAGCTTTTAATACGAAGGATATCGATAAACAATCGATTATAGCAGTGGTTTATCTCGATGTAACTCATACAAAAGTGCTTCCATTATCAATAATACGATTTCGAAAGATTGTTGAGAAAAGTCACACTTAACCTTATAAGTAGATTCTAAAATGTCAAATTGAAAAATTGTGTCTGTAGGAAAAACAATAAATGCGCCCAACAAAAATCGACATCCGAGCCGTAATAAGGCTGTGTAGGGTTAGAAGCAGTTAGCATTTGAAGAAAGGTCAATTGAACAAAGAATAAGCACGCGCGAGTGATTAAGCATTCATCCTAACAACTAAAAACAACTAAAATGACGGTTATGGATTTTTTTGGTTGTGCTTTCTTGGCATTTGGACCTCCATTTGCCATGTTCACATTTACTATAGCTAATGATCCTATCAAAATTATAATATTAATTGCCAGTGCCTTTTTCTGGCTCATTTCTTTACTTTTATCATCCGTGCTATGGTATGCTGTTGTTCCACTTCAAGATCATCTTTCATTTGGATTAATATTTTCAGTATTGTTCCAAGAAGCATTCAGGTAATGCATTTGTTTACATTTGCTTTTTTATATATATATTTTTTTTATTTTTATATATAAATATGTATATGTTTATGTACATGTGCATATCCCCTCATGTAAGGATGATGTGATACTAATTAATATTGTAAATTGGTAGGTACCTTTTATACTGGGTATTACGCAAAGCTGAAAGAGGCTTAGAAAAAGTAACAACAACTCACGTAGCCGATAGCAGACACGTATTCGCATACGTTTGTGGCCTAGGCTTTGGTTTCATGAGCGGAGCTTTTGCTCTGGTCAATGTGTTAGCAGATGCGGTAGGTCCTGGAACCATGGGCATTCGACATGGTACGGAATACTTCTTCATTGTATCAGCATCCACCACATTGTGCTTCATTTTACTCCATACATTCTGGGGTGTCATCTTTTTTGCTGCTCTCGATAAGCAAAAATGGGGACAAATAGTGTGGGTCGTAGCATCACATTTGTTTGTCTCTTGCATGACACTATTAAATGTATACAAATTTTATGTAGTCAGTATCTCTTTCGCTTATATTGTCTTAGTCATTAATGCGGCTCTTGCCTTTAAGGTCGCAGGTGGAAAAATACAGAATATAGCTCAGTGCTTTTTAAGAAACTAAGAATTTATATAAGAAATACTTGGCTAATAAGGTATAGATTTAAATAACAAATATTTCGTTTTTTATAAGAATAAAAGTCTGGACGCAATACATTTAATTTCCTAATAAATAACTAGTAAAAAACTTTATGATCTCTAGTTATACTTATTAAATATTTACTATCAAAATAAAAGAGAACAAAAAAAGAATTAAAAATAAACAAAAGCATCGAGAACCACAGCCAAATTGTAAATACACTATTTAATTGAATTCTTCTAAAATTTCTGTTGCAAAAGCTATTTTAGATAACCCAATCTATTTAACTTGGTACGCTCTAGCATTAAGTTTTTTGGTAAAATTGCTAGTCCGTCCCTTAATCCATTGAGATAAATGATAATACTGTAGTTATTGTTCAAACTGCAGTAGAACAAAGACAATGTTTTAATTTAAAATCTAGTTACATGATACAGTGTACAGCGTATTCATTTGAGAAAACTAATATCTACAATGTGTGTGACTGTATGAGTGTATGTTGTGTATTTAATGTGTATGATATAATGATACAGATTACATTATGCAAAAGTTTAAGAACAGACTATTACTTGAATATAATATACAAAAGACGCGATAAGTAAGGAATTGTTCATTAATTTTATATATATATATATGATAGTTTGTTAAAAATGTAATTTAGATAATTACTAGATCATGTTATATCCCGCACTCTATTTCATTTACGTCATGTCATATTTCATAGTAGTTTATTAACCCCAACTCATTACATTTCATATATTATGTAATTCAAATAAAAAACCATTTTTGTACAATCGCAGGTGCATTGATCTATTCCTTACCATCATCTCGGAAATTAAGTAAATGTTTAATGTACTTAAAATTTATTTAAATGTTAAAATATATTTTATATATCACTGTCTTTAAAAAAAGAACTCATTTTTTTCACACGCATTAATAAAAAAATAATCAATTAATTTTTTGGATGGAAATGATTTTTCAGTGCATTATTACTCCTACTCAGATCAAATCGCCATGCATACTTTTTGACTCTATTAATATCACAAATATATTTCTCGAATATTTTAATACGCAAATTTTATAACGTTTATAATCATTTTCTATATAATCTAAGTATAGGACTATATATACTTAGATTAATGAGAATTTGGTAGAATCCTCATATCAACCTTTATCTCAAATTAATTATTACAAAAATATTAACTTTATAAACATTAGACTTTTTGAAGAGCAGCATCTTCGGAGTTCTCTATTCTTTTTTATATCGTACATAAAATATAACAAGGTGATATTGAATATTGACTTATAAAATCTGTTTAATAGAAGTTCACTGGTATTGATATACAATAATAAGTATACTTACTGAAATTTATAGTAAGTTACATAATTGCAATCGTTCGAGAAAAACTGCTCTTAAGAACTTTTCAATATATCGACATTATCTTGTTTTTCTAAAATAGCAATATATTGCGTCCAAATCTGTTAAGTATGATACTTTGTACAATTACCTAAAATAATATGATCTGTATGTTTTGCACCCTGTGAAATGGAGAACTACAAACGAGCCCTTTTATGTATAACGCGTTTATGAACTGCTTGTTAAAGAAGCCATGAGCAATTCCATCTTATTTAAAAAATTTTTTCCTTCCATTTTATCCCATCTAACTTCTTTAAACGAACCACCTAAATTTTCCCATTTCCTTTCTCGCACTAATTGACCTGGAAAGAAATCTTTTCTAGGAGAATGCGCTATGGCTACTTGTATTCCTGTTTGAGGTTCGCATCTTACGGCAATCATTCTGAAAATAAAAAGTATAATACATATAATAATTGTTATTAAAAGTAATTGCACAAGTACATAAATGATAAATTACCTGTCACCGATTGGTGAAGCTAAAATGCAACTGCTTGCATTTCCTAAAGGTTCAACCGCACCTAAACCAAGATGCGAACTATTTCCTAAAAGTTGCCAGCCCATGCATTTTGCCAAAGATTGTACTGCCGTTATTTGATGTTGATATATCTAAAATAATCGTAAAATTATACATATTATATAAAACTAAATGTAGCATAATTAATTAGATGTTATGTTCAACTAATTCTATGTTATTTAATAAGTTAATAGCAATCAATATTACTGAGAAACTAACCTGACAAAAAATTAAATCTCTCAACTCCTGAGGTTCATAACTCATGTGCATTACTCTGCCATCTCTACAGACGCATTTAAGTGATTTTTCTCCTACGTGAACGATTAAAGAAGTTCGATATAAACTGTCGTATCCGTGTGTTAATATATTAATTTTTACGCATGACTGCGTAGGGGAATTTAATGCCATCCAATGAGATACGATTAAAGGATCTTTAACTTCTTTTGCTATAGTGTCGAGAACGTATTCGGTACGTAATCTCATAAAAAAATGTTGAGCTTGTTGAATAATCTGTTCTAATAGCGTTTGGCTCTTAGCCATTTCTAAAAGTTCATATCTATCTGCTGCTGTTGGACCAGCTAAACATCGACGTTTACTAGGTCCCAGTGGACCCGACGAAGGGTGAGGAAATGGGTGATGAGTATTTTTATGATGTATTTCACGTAGTAATTGATGCAAGGAATGCTCTAGTACATGATCGTGATCAGTCTTGTGAGGCGGAGGCGCAGTTGGTTTTTTATCATTTCCAGTACTATGACACAAACCTATGATCAATTGAATTCCTGGAAGCACCTGATATAGAAAATAATTTAGTATATTACATAATATATATAATAGACTTTTTAATAAAATCATTTCAAAGAATATAATAATCACCGTTGCCATTATTTGATTTCCAACAACCATATGTGGAATCGGTGCACGTAAATGTACAGCCTCTCTTGCCAATTGACTAAACAATTCTTTACAAAATAAAACATTTTGCGCGGCTTCTAATTTTTGTTGCCAATGCATATCCGTGTTGGAACTATGCGCGCTGCTATTAAGTAGACTAATATTAGCACTGCATAAATCCTCTTGATCTGAAAAACAAAACGATTAATTCTTAAGCAAATATAATCAGAATTATTGTAGAATATGAAATTAATGTTACTTTTGTTATGCTACCTTTTTGACATAATACTTCGATATAAGCTACTCCTTGTAATTCGCTAGGTATAGTAACACGTAATGCAGATGCTTTCGAGTTGGATGGTCCATGAGATTGCCCGGTAGTATTACTGCTAGAATTAGGTGAAGCGGGAGGACTACCATTTGGTTTTTCTTCCTCTTCCGCTTTTGTTACTTCAAACATACCAGTCTGCGTATACTTAGAGCCAGCTGCAATGAATTATTGTAAGAAAATAGATAAAAATGACATAAAACAAATATTACCTGTTCTATAACTAAGATCGCCAATTATAGAATTGGATACTTTCTTTAAACGCCAATTTTGCCTTAATCTTAACAATTCGATGTGAAAATCTAGAGTATTACGATTTCTAGCTAATTCATTTTGACTATTTCGCAATCTTTCTGTTCCCATCATAAGAACGGAAGCAGCTCCTGCTAGTGCTTTCTTTCTAGCATATACTTGGACCATTGGTTTAACTTCAATCGATTCTTGAGGCACAGGATCCAAAACTAAATAATGTTTTTCTTTCGCTATTGCAAGAACATCCGCTAATACGCATACCTCTGTTAATGCGTTCCTAAAAAGATCAAATCATTGAAATAAAAGTATCTATTGTTTGTAATTATAAATATATTACGAATGAAATTTTTTCTGCGCGTGTAAGAATGCATTATGTATGTGTACTTGAGATGAAAGAACGAAGCATTGTTAAACGAAGAAACCACGTGTTGTTTTTTTGTGTTATCATTTATTTTAATAATCAGTCTATTTAATTATACAAACGAACCCTAATAGATGGAATAAATACCTTAATTTGCTTCTAACGCTATCCCATGGCCACAACGAAGATTGAAAAGATGCTGGATCTTTGGCATCCTCTTCATTTTTATCACCATTTTCAGATTGTTCTTTTTTAATATCTTCTCCATTAGTTTTACTAAAATCTATCTTTTGGGCAATTTTAGCCAAATTTTCGGATAACGTAAGGGGACTGTAATAACGAAATTATACCAATTAAGGTTAACATAGATATCAAGATTTGACAACACTCAATGCTACAAGTAAAAGAGTTCCTTAACTATAGGACTAATTTATAAATGCATTACATACGCCTGATAAATTTCTTGTCCATCATAAGTGATTTCTTGAATTTGATTTTCAATCGGTGCTTCTACTGAGATGTTCACGGAAAACGCCATTGTTGTTTACGTATTTTATGTCACGACTGAAATTATGCATGCATTACACAAGACTGTTCACCATCTTTCCCTCAAAATAGATGCGACATCAACGCAGCACGTATGGACAAAATAGGAACTACAAAAAGCATAAGGGAACTATGAGTAGGCTTGTTTAGCTAAAGGGTTATACTCCTTTCACATTTATCTAAATTCGCCTTTTTTACTTGTTTAATAGTAGCGTGCATCTAGCAACTACTATTTTCGTTAAATAGGACACAACGTTTAAAGACAAGTATATAATAAGTATCAGATATAAATAATAACTATTATATAAATTTGTGACCAAAAAAAAATAGTTATTGTCTTGCAGCTTTGTACATCACGTGTTCAACTCTGTAAACACATAAATTTCTATGTAGATACCATGGAATATAAATTGGAAAATTTATTAAAAAGCTATTAAACGTATTTTTAAATTTGATATCTAATCAGTATAATTTGGTATTGTAGTAAATATTAATAAAAATATACAAATATATTATAATACATGTATGGCAGGTGGAAGTACGTAAACACTGTCTAACCATGTCAGTTAAAAAAAATTATAAGACTAATGCATATATAAGAACTTGAAATAAAGCGGTAAAAGCGGTCGTGATTGGAGAATCCGCTTTCTGTGATCGCTACGAGATGGCGCCGTGATCACTGGTGAAGGTGCCATATATGTATATAAATGGCAGACGCGGCAATTTTTTAAATAACTAAAATAAAAATGTAATAAAACGTAATGATTTTTGAAAAAAAGAGAAAGAAATGTATTAATAACGTAAATAATAATTGAATTTAATTAGGAAGAACAAAATATAATTGATAAATGAGACGCAATAGAAAGATAATACCGTTTAGAAAATTTCAAGCAATTGGAAAGGATTTGTAAAAATGGGCGTCTGGGTTGGAGACGTAGAGGCGTCGGATATAGTTTCTGTGCGATGTGGACCCCTACTGATTCGCTTCTATTGATTCCGTTGTGTGCATCATTCTGCCGTCGTAGCTGTTTATTTCTTTCTACGGTTATTTATCAAATAATCAAATCGTCCTTTAATATTGTGCTTCGTCAAGATAATTACAAAAGAAAGTGAAAGGGGTAAGTACTTTATTGATACAGCGGGAAAATAAACTTGAAAATAATTGGCGCGTAAAGTCATCTACTCCGACTCCATGTATGTAGATATTTGTTTTATTTTCTACTCCTATTTTAACCTTTCGCGTTAGATTATATATTGAAAAATCTGTAATAAATCAAACACGATAACATATTAAGACAAGTTAGAACGAAATTTTTGGATATAGATAAGTTTTTTTCTAAGTCTTTGTTTTTCTTCGGTGGTACTCCGATAGACGCGTTGCATATAATTATGATTCTTCGTGGATCCAAATTGCTAAAACTTGCATAAAGCATAACACGTTGTATAGTTAATGCCATGCTTGTAAGATTGATTGCTTCTTCATAGATAAATATTTCTTAGTATTATTGGCATGTTTAAAGGTAATTAGATAGTATATACTTTAGTTCTAATTTGTCCTTAAGGATAAATTTTAATTTTTCACTAAGAATTTTAATTGATAATACATGAAATTTACAATGAAGTTAAAAGAACATATAGTCTTAGAATTGTATTGAAAATGAGCAAACGAAATTTCTCAAGTTTTAACATTTCTTCCATGCTACAAACTAACTTTTTTAGATTTAAAATGACTCCGGAGGGCTATACTCGTGTCTACGTTGGTGGACTCAATGAGAGCATCAAAAAAGAAGACCTACAAATGGAATTTGAGAAATTCGGCAAGCTTAACAAGGTTTGGGTGGCCTTCAATCCTCCAGGCTTTGCCTTCATCGAGTTTCTCAATATGAATGAAGCAGAATTGGCATGCAATAGTATGAATGGCACAGAAATAATGGGTGTCAAGTTAAAAGTGGAAATTTCACGTGGTAGAGGTCGTGGTGGAGGTAGGGGTGGAGTAGGATTCAGAGGTAGTCGTGGTACTTCTGGTAGGGATTTCGGTTCTCGGGGTGGTGCTAGTATGGGTTATAGAGGAGGCAATACGTATGCAGATTATGGGGGCAGCTATTATGCAGGCAGGGGTGGTGGAAGTAGAGGTAGAGGACGCTACGGAGAAGATTATATGTCCAATCGTACCAGTGGGTATGTTACTCGAGACGGATATATGCAAGATGCCTATGGTACTACTAGCGGAGACACCGGCATGGAATACTACACTGGCAAGGATACTGGCACATCGAGGTACAGAAGCCGCTCTCCGGCTGGCCGTGGCAGGTACTAATGATACCCAGTCTTCGTAAAATGATTTTAAGTTGTATCATTATCATCTGCACGAGTTAAATAATGTTTCATTTCGGTATTAGGAAGGTAAAATATATATATATTAAAATTTTTTATATATACATATATATATATATATATATATATATACATATATACATATATATATATTTATATATAGTGAATTTACATTTATAGCAAATCTTTCTATAAGACTATTACAAATTACCTTTATTACGTATAATGGCAAATTGTTTACGTAATGTCACATCTGCATATCTTCCAGGTACAATCGACTAATGCTTCTTTAGATTTTTTAATACTACGTAATCAGTTTTAAAGTTTTAGTATAGGCAAATAAATATGGTAAATAGATTATATGTAAATCGAGAAATTGTAACTATTGACAAAAACATTCATAATAGGAGTTACAAAAGATTTGTTTTTATTGATTTTATTTTGCTTTTTTTACATTTACGATGTGACAACTATTTTCTATCTTGAAGAAATTATTTTACTCGAAATCGTGCAAAATTTTAATGCAAATCAATGATTACTACCAAAGTCAACATTTTAAAATCTTTTTTTATCATAATTTTTAATTTCGCCCAAACTCATTGCCAAATATTAATAAATTCTTTCTTAAATTTCAATGGCATGAGTGTACATGATCAAAAGCATAATTGCATGATGAAGAGTCTTTGATCGCTAATTCAGAAAAATTAAATTATTGCATGCATATGCACATATATAAATATATATATAGATATAAATATATATATAGATATAAATATATATATATATATATAAATATATATATATATATACATGTACATATATCTATACATAATCGAGAGACTACAGACTCTCAATCGGTGGGAGTCATACGCCACAGATGGCGAAAATAATGTGACATCCTGTTTTGCACTTCCATGTTCACAGTCATCGTCATCTACGTGAATGCACATAAAAGAACTACGCTGCGTTGCCAATCTGAACTGCGGGCCAATCACCCACCCGCCTCGACGACTACATTTCTATCCAATCTACGCAGCGACGTGTATATACACAAGAACGACCATTGCAGTTTATGCTGCAATAAATATTTGCATTATATGATCTGATGTGACAGACTGTGGTCGTTGCCACTTTTCTTAATTAACAGTTCATAAGATTCTGTAAAAGTTCTATGCTCGATATCAAATGGGGAGAAAGATAAGACTCTATTTGTTGACATTTAGAGCTTTAACTCGTAAGAGTTATAACATTAATTGTGAAAACCAATTTATTTCTTGGGTAAAACACCCTATTTCTTTATATTTTATAAGATACATTTTTTACATAAATCATGGGTCTTAGATTAAATTCGTTTAATAGTTACATCCATGGTACTTATGCAAGTTTAAAAACGTATTTGCATTTTTTCTACTTACCTGAAGGTAGCGAAGAATGGAGATAATTTAAGCTTGATATAGTAATCATGAAGTTTGTATAATTAGATACCGCGTCTCTGCGTGAATACAGTCTTTCCAAACTCTCGTTTTCCAGTGTATTGACGATACTTCTGAGTACAATCTTCGTATATCTAGTTAAAACCTTGCTTATGATCGTGCGTGTAGAAACGTTTTCATATAGGTCCAAAAGAGAGGAAACAAAAAGAAAAAGAAAGAACTATGCGCAATACAACCAAATGCAAACTGCTGCTCGTATATGGCCTATCGTGCTAACGCACTAACAAACAGTCTAGGCCCCAACAAATTTTGATACACAAATAGTGTGTGCAATCAAAAGTACGAGATCGTGAGACGTTCTTGCAGGCTATACTTTATGCTTCTTTCTAGCAATATATGTGCATAAACAGTCCTGCATTTGGAAGCATCTATGAGCGTCTCCTTCTAGATTTTTTTAGACTTTGAAAGATAAAATGATAAAATTATGGTAATGTTTTACCTCGACTGTACATGACTTGGAATTGGAAACGTATTAAATGATTTGCGCTCACTACTGCCCGCCACCCTGCCTGCCTGTCTGCCTGCCTGCCTGATTACTCTCTCAGTGTCTATATCCAATGAAAATCTTCTCTCGTTGTTTTCCCTTTAGTTCCTTTTTAAGGAAAATTTTAAAAGGAACTGAATTTTCACTAAATTCAGATATCGCAAGTGCCTTTGACTTATAAATATGAGTATAAAGCTATCTCCAAGTTTGGTCAATTACATGACTCTCGTTTTTCTCTCTTTCTCTCTGTCTCTCTCTCTCTCTCTGTCTCTCTCTTTTTCTATCTCTTTCTATACATATAATATATATATATTTCTGACTACAAGTTACAAAATAATCTACTTTACAATTCGATGCTGTCGGTATAGTAATTTTATAATTAAATGAAATTCAAAATTACGGAGATCTTATATCTAATACATATATCAAAGTTTTGATTTACATTATAATTTCCTTTAAGCAGAACATAAATGTGTATTTTTTTTTTCATCCATAGCAAGCATTACATACAAATACTTAATATTTATTTTATTTCTCTTAACTTTTTTTGGTTTCAATTATTTTAAATATAAAATAAGTAAAATAAAAAAAAACCAGAGTGTGTGTAAGTATTTTAGATGAAAAAATATTTATATCTTGGTTTTGTAACAGTATAATTTTATTAGTTTTGAACTAATTGATATATTATTTTCATCTTAATGCTCTTTATTTAAATTTCATTTTATTTATAATTAAATTGTAGGAGGCAGCTTGCGTATTGGTAGTTATATGTGTGTAGATTTCTTTATAAATATGTAAAAAATTGAAATTGCACGCACACGTATAAACACAGGTATCCATAGATTTAATTAAAACAATAATTTGGTATTTGAAGTACAACTCGTAAAAGTATATTCTTCATGAAGATTGAAAATCATCGCGATGGTGATATTATTTAATTTTTAACTTTCTGTATATTTTTTTCACTGAAGAAAATTTTGTAAGATAAATACGATATTTGGAAATTCTTGTTACGCAATTCAATCTTTTTTTTATATATATATATATCATTCTATATTTACTCTCATTATTAATTTTTATTGATAATTTTATTGACAGTTCAATTTTATTATTACATATAAAAAGATGCTTTCACAAAATATTATTTATTTTGCAAAGATTTATTGCAACACGAAAGACATACAAAAATATTTTGGATGCCAAGAGTTTTTACTCACATACGCGAAATTGATCATTTAAAAATAAATTGCATGAAAGCTTGTCAAATAATATAAAGTTTAAAAAATATATGTATATAATTAGTGATGGGATTTAAAACATTTAGAGTCGTTTCAAATTCGTATAGTCTACGTGATATAAAAGGTTGGAATAAAATTTTCTTACTAAAGTAATAAAAGCGTAACGATGTAAGATTCTACTAGAGCAACGAAAAAATGACTAATTAATTTTAGATTAATTAAAAATTTTTCGTCATATATATGAAGATTCGAAGTACTTTGAAGTTTTTTAAATCCCATCTCTATATATTAGGGGGACCAGGAAATAAACCATTATTTTGTAGTGTAACATTCAACATTAAAAAAAAAAAAAAAAAAAAAGAAATTATTACTCAAAATCACAAAATATAATTTCCATCATTTTTGACCATTTCTTTCCATCTATTTTGTACACTCTCAATGCCTATTTTGTAAAAGCTTTGTGGTTTTGAGATAAAATATTAAATAAGATGACTTTCAACATCGTTCACATTTCGGAATTTTTTGTTTCTTAAGGAGTGCTCCACGGATCGAAAAAGATGAAATTCAGACGGAGCAAGATTTGGTGAATACAGCGAGTATGGTATAACTTCCCAGTTCAACTCTTGGATTTTTTCGCGGGTCATTTTTGCTGTATGAGGGCGTGCGTCGTTTTGAAGCAGTATTACTTTTTCTCGGTTGACTAAATACACACGTTTTTCTTTCAATTCCAGGTCGAGTCTCTCCAATTACCGACAATAAATTTCTGACTTTTAGAACTTCTTCATATAAATTTAATTAATGGCTTCCATAGCCTTGGTTGCATTTAGTCTTTCATCAAAAAAAAAAAAAAGCAACATACTATGACGCAAGTGTTCATGAAAAAAAACTTAACAAACAGTTCGACGACAAAAAATATCTTGCAAAGATTTTTCTTCCACCGTGTATGGATGCATACTATCTCAAACTAGACCATCTAAAAATAATGGCGAAATTCTTGGTCCCTGGTTAATATATATAACTATGGAGGGAGGGAGGGGGGTAACATACATATCAAATGATAAAAGAAAATCTTTCAGATGAAGGAAAGTAACAGAAGAGAAATGGTCTGTTTAAGCGAGGTGAAATGCATAGAATACGAATAAATGTTCTCTTTCCGCTGGTTATTAATAACATATTAATACAGTATTGTATTACTTGATAGAAGCTAAGAGAACTGATCTTCTTTCTGTATTTTGAAATAATGCTCTAATAAGTTGTTTTACTTGAATAGCTGTAAATTCTTTTGCAAGAGGACCTTTCCCACTTGCCCATCTAATTTCAATTTCTTTTAATGATGCACCAAGAACTTTAATAAGTTCTACAAATTTTCTCCACTTTCGTACATATTGTGATATCTCGTCAGATTTCTAAAAGTAAAAAAAGTATTCTTGTCAAATTTATACGTAATTAGCCCGGTACATGTTCTTACAGTTTCACTTTTACAGGAACAAATTGATGGAACAACTCTATCTATATCATCAACTCTTTGATCGCAGAATCGCACATGACCTCTTAACAGTGTTATGGTATAATAAACAAGTTAATAAAAGTAGAACAAAAACTATTATCTCTATTATTTTTGAATCCTAACATTGAAATACGATCATTGAACTTACTGGAAATATCATTGGTGCTCGTGTTGCTACCATATTGAACATTATCACCAAGTCAGAGGCTACATCGGCAGGTATGTCTTCAACGGATATAACTCTTATTATTAAATCTTCGATCATGGAATTAGTGATGCATCCTACCAAGAATATAAACAAAGACAAGAGGTAGGTGTGATTATTGAATTTATAATAAGTATATTAAAAAATGAAATGAGATAAAGATTAAGACTTACCTACAGCTCTACAATAAACATTGATAGGTAAAACATCCAACCAGACAGTCTTCAACAATTCCAATTGTCTGATACATTGTCTTAGTGCACGTTCGGTTGATGAAGGTAATTCTGAGACTTGACCTAGCACCGCTAAACCTAATTATATTCACAATTTTGGCTGATGCAAATTAAACTTACAAATAATACTACCATTTATATAAAGTTAAATTGTTACCGACCTGACTCTTTAAGTATATCTATAATAATATTTCTCTGATATCTCATGTGCTCTAGAAAACATTCGGAACCCACATTACGCAGTATCAGTGTTTGGTCAGCAAACGTTAAGTTAAGATGTTGCAATGATTCTGGTAGCTTGTCTCTGTATTCGTGTGCCAATGTGAGTAGATGGTGTGCGAGGTACATACAGTTGTTGTGGAATAAAGCTAAGAACAGTTGTAATATCCAGTGGCCAATAGATATATCTAGGACTTATTTGTCGTTTATTGGAATCCTTTTCATTTGACCGTTTCTTACCGACTTGTTGTGGTATTGTTTCCAAAAATTTTCGGTGATGTTCAGGTATTAATCCTGCATACATTTCAAATATATTTCTACATGTATAGAATAGCCTGACTGCGGAAGCATCCAAACTGTCGCAAGCTTCGTCTAAAATACTTCTTGCAAGATCTAGTATTTCTTTTGCACTTTTGCTAAAAACAAATACTTTTCATAATAATCACTCTTTTTATAACATTATGATAATTTATTGCATTAAATACCTTATTTGACAAGTTGATAGTTGAAAAGAAGATTCATTTAAGTATCTGTGAATTATTACTTCTTCGCTCTCTAATTCATTGTTTGGAAATTGTAACGGAGTCTACAAATGAATAACTATAATTTTAATATATTTGAATTGTTTAATCGTTTATTAAACACGAAATTTACCTCGGATATGTGTTTAATCGAATCATGAAGATCTTTCTTGATAATATTTTTTGCTTTTACCATTAAATCTTGGCATATTTTATCGATAAAAATGATGTCAATATTATCGGTGTATTCTTTCAAGAATAATTGCGTTTCCGTAATGAAACCTGTGAAAAGAATTAGAGTTATTTAAATAATTATATTAATATAATATTACAATAAATTTTGTGTGTTTACCAATTTCTACTAAATAACTTTGGAACTCGTTAGTCTCTTCAATTACCGGTTCGAAATTTTTTAATTCCGTAGTAGAAGTAGGTATAGTTTTAGCTATACAATTCGTTATAAGACTTTCTGCTAATTGTTCTAAAATATGTGGCTGCATTTTCATAAGTAAAGTTTCATTATTGTCTATTACAATGTTAAAATATTCATGAAGATATCTAAATAATAATTTTAAATTATGCAACACACTTTTATAAGTTGGTGTTTTTTTTCTATCGATGTATTTGATCGTGAATATGTTTTCTTTGGAAAGGAACACTAAGCATTCCTCATTGATAATAGGTTGAATTATACGATTCATAACTATATCTAAAAATTTGTCTAAATGATCGGAAAGTTTGTCGACATAATGCAAACCACGAATTAGATCTTCTATGTTTTCTAGTTTATCCTTAATGTGAAGAGTTACAATTGCTTCATCTTTATTATCTTCTATAACGGTCCAACAAATTCGTTCATCCCAAAGTAAAGAGGCGTGAGATAAAAATGAATCGTGTAAATTTTTATATTCCTCTTTGATGACATTATATATTTCAAGATCTTTTAAATTACTTTCCGGATTCTCCAATAATACTTGCATTGCGCATAAGCTTTTGGCAGTGTCAACGTATCGTTGTTCTTCTTGATACTGCTTTATTGATTTGATGTATTCGTTAAGCGATAACAATTGCTTGGATAGTAGAAAACAAAGGTTTGATTCTTTTAATGCTAGTGAGAGATTTTGTAATTCTTTTGTGGAACCAGATAATTCTAGTTTGATCTAAAATAAATATTATGCATAGATTCCAAATGATCATTTTTTCAATTTATGTATTTAATTATGATTTATTATGTATCCGTAAATCTACCTGATCATCTATTCTCTTTTGTAAATCGTTCATTTCCTGTGTAAGTATTTCAGCTTTCGAAACTAAACGTTGATTTTTTGTTAATTTCGACGAAAATTCAATATAATTAACATCCATGAAATCCTTCACATCGTGTTTTAGTTTGACTATTTCCTCCTGTATTTGAGTTATTTTCTCTTGAAGATTGAGTGTTTCCAATTGCCCTATTTATATACAATAGAAATAAAAACATAGAAAGTATAATTAATCAATCAAACTTGATATTACTCTTATACATTTTGAACGTTACCTGCTGTAATTAACACATCGGTTAAAAATGATGCCATGTTGAGAAACTATAAATATATTTGATATACAGAAATCTTGATGTTAACATAAAACAAAGCTAATATTTCATTTAAACTTTGTACAAACTTTTAACATCGGTTTGGTAAAAATGCATTCAGTGTATTAGGTTGCTAGACAGAACATTTGTACATGCGCAATAGTATCAAATTTCGATTGGTTAAATTTTGAAGCGGTAAATTTGAAAATGTTACTTGTAATTTCAAGTTCACCGTCATTATTTTACGATATTTATACGTTTTATATTTCCTTGGCACACACATTTTATGAAGTTCAATCTTTATAAATATTATAAAGTAAGCAAATCAATGAGATAAATAAGGGAAAGATATTTAAACATATTAATTAAAACTATCGAAATTTGCCCTCTAAAAAGGTATCGAAACGTATCGAAATGTATCGAAACGAATAGAAAAATTTCAAAAAAACAAATTTAATATTACAAAATGTTAAATAATGATTTAGCAACTCCTATATTGTATGACTAATTGTACGATTCACTTTTATTTGACTTAATAAACGATGATAAGCCGATAATGCTATCAGTATGGTTAACCCTATCTTTTGGTATCTATTTCATTCTGCTATGATTAATTCGAAATGCTTTTATGTCTTTAAAAGACAAATATCATTAATCGTTGGTTTGTAAAACGATAAAAAACAATTAAAAAATGATTATTCTAAAGAAGAAATTTGTTCTCCGAATTTAACCAAAATGAATTCTTACAATTCTAATTGAATCCCTATTAATTTCATAGAAATATTTGAAACGTTAGTTTTCCTCGAGATGGTGAATACTACGACGGCGATGACAACGACGACGACGACGACGTCGACCAAGGGAGTGGGGATAAACTCACCTGTTTCACAACCTGCGTGACGTAGTTGCGTGGCGAGGGTCACGTGACAGGCGCGTTTACCTTCGAGTAGAATAGTAGGCAGTGCGGTGATCGCTAATGTGTAGTACCGATCCTCCGAGCATAAAGAGAGGAGAGGAGAGTAAAGAAGAGAAGCGAAGCGAAGGAGTTTGTAGTAGCGTCGAAGCGCTGCCAGTCGAGCGGTCAAACCGCACCCAACGTGACGCTACACCAGGTGGCTAACGCGAATCTTAGTTCTCGTATTATTCGACAAAGAATAAAGTTTATTTTTCTTTCTTGAAAATTCGATCCAGCAACATTATCGCCAGGTCGACGAACTCTTCGATCATTATTCTACACAGGGAGACCAAGTTGGTTATCAGTGTCGTCAAGGAGAACGCTAATGACGCTAAACTCGACGCTAAACTTGACGCTATAGACGCTTTCTCTCTCTTTACCTTCGATTCTTCAAGAAAAAATACGAGAGGTGAGAAATAGCTGAGTTAAAGGACAAGAGTGTGCAATCCAATTGCGCGACTCTATTTTTACCTTTCTCTTTTTCTCTCTTTCTCTCTCTCTCTCTCTCTCTTTCGTATTTTTCCATCGTCTCATCCACATCCAGAAAGGAGAAAAGTTAACGTTCGGATTCGAATGATCGCGTGCAAGTGATAGTGGTAGTGGTAAATGTAATTGCAGTTTGTGTTTGTTCATTACACACGTGGGTTACCACCAAGTATTCTTTATTTTATAAATATATACTTTCAATATGTCGAACAAGCATCGTAAATCGATGCTCGATCTTTCCACTCAGGGTGGATCGAGGACATACGTAGGTCGTTAGATTTGAAAATACTGAATTGCAAAGGAAGACTTTGTACGTTGTCGAGAGAAGAGCATCCGTCCATCCATCTGTCCGTCCGTCCATCCATGCAAGAGTTCACCAAGTACATAAGCCGAGTTCACTCTGAAGCATAACGTAACTGTTCTCCAGAGAAGCGCTGTGCCTCGTTAAATTCTCTTCGATAAAGATCTCGTGAACTAACTCGAAGGGAAAGTATACTATCGTTCCAAGTCTTGTCAAGGGAACCTAAAGAATCGAAAAAAACGACTTGTTGGAAGTTTCCCTTTAACCGTAGGATCGTAGTTTGCCTAACGAGAGTGTACTGCGATCGTTTCGTGATCGATGATTCACAGAACGAAGCTTCGACGTTTCATAGAGTCATCCCGAAGAAGGAAAATAATAATCTTTGGTCGATTGCTAGCGAATCATAGTCGAAATGATTCCTAATTATCACCTACTCGTATTCTCCATCACGATTTTGACATATATTTTGACTATTAATGGTCAGTTACGAGAGAGTACTGAACAGAACTCGATTTACTATACAGAACCGGCACTGGTTAACTCCAATAGCACCAACAATGGGAACAATTACGATGGATTTACCGAGTTACACGGTGTTAGAATAGTCAGGGGACAAAAGGTGCTGCAGAGAGTTAAGAATCCTTACTTGATCAGGGAGGACCTTTTCGTCGAGAAAGATGGAGAGTTGCTTATCGAAGCTGGAGTTGAAATACGTTTTGGTCCTATGGTCGGAATCACCGTTCGTGGTATCATCACAGCGAAGGTAACTGTATTCAAATACTTTTACAATTTTGACAATATTTTATTTACGATATGCATTTTCAATATTCCAAATAAATCAATGACTCTTTTTTCAAAGTAATAAGATTACTTAGAAACTCTATTGGTCAACGATACACGTTGCGTAAACGTAAGTTACGTCTCAATGTGAATGAATACGTGAGTCATTTCATAAACGCAAAAGTGCACGCTTAGCTCGTTATCATCATCTGTAGTATATATCGATAATGAGTCGTCGGTAACGATTTCGGTTCTTGGAAAATGTCACCGATACTTTTCTTCGTAGATTAGTACTCTACTCTCTATTACAATAAACGTGATAATAACAGACCGAAGTGTTGACAATTGTTTTATTTCATTGAAACACTAGTTACGACCAATAAAGGAATTTATTGACAAATTCTAATGCAAAACGAATAATTTCTTCCTGTTGAAACTTAAAAGGGAAGAGCCGAGTTGACAGGAAATCGATTCGTATCACGTTAGATGGAAAAATAAATGAATTTCTTATCGATGGCCTAATCTGTTATCAAGATAATATCGAGAGTATTAACCGTATGCACCCGAGAGGTTACCAATCAATTTAACACGATGAAAGAATATATTTGTTAATATTTGCGCAATATTGATTTTAATGGGATTTGTGTTATTATTGTTAGATTCTCTTTATTTATTTTATTTTTTGTTTTAAATGTGAGACCATTGACCCAAAGATCGAGTCAGGATATACCAGTAATGTAATTCGATGAAACCAACTCCATTCTTAAATACACCTTTCCGGTGTAATAATCATAATCGGTTGTCCTCTGGAATATCATCGGATTGTTTCGACTTTCGTTACGCGCTACTTCTTCCTGCCGGTATCGCTACAGTTTCTCTTTCTTTCTTTCTTTCTTTCTTCATAAAAATCACTTTACGACTTTTCGCAAGAACGGAAATGACAAAAAACAATTGTTTTACGATCTATGATGATGCACTTTTTTCCCTGGAACTGGAATGCGAACATTATACATTTAATAATTGCGGTTTCGAATATTTGTAGAAAGATAACGCGATATTCAATTTTATTCAAATAATAATATGGAATGAATTAGGTTTTGTCCAGTGATTTCCTTTCCTCTCTTTCTCTTTTCCATCGAACAGTCATGTTAATTGTCATCCGGTAAAAATGACGGTTCAACGATGCACTTAGAACGCTTCTGTCGAAGGTCATCAAACGACCGGACATACCGGGAATAAGCGAGCAGAGTTTTGTCGCTGTCATACGCTTATACAGAGTGATCATAAATATTATGAACTTTTTCGTCAACTTCCTCAACTTTTATCGAATTACTTTGAATTTATTTTTTAATTGTAATTGCAAAAATCAAACCGAAATTCTGATATAATATTTGTCGACTCGAAGTAGATGAAATTTTGACGAGATATATTTAGTACATGTATGTATAGAAGGAAAAAGACAAACTGTAGCTAATCGCTTGATTAAGTACGGGATACGAAGAAGCTCGGAGGCATGAATGAATGAATCAGCTCGAAACGTCGGCTCTGTGCGTAGTGTGTTTCGGGTCATGGATCAACAGACGGTTCTTGTGTGTACATTGTTAACCTCCGACCTCGTTAATCCGCTTATACTCGGGAACAGGGCAAGATCTTTGCCCGTTTTTCCTCAGGAAGCTAAAGCTAAGCTTTGCTATCTGAAAATTGTAGCTATGTTGGATTTTAGGGAGAGCCAGAAGCTCCGATCGTATTCACCTCGGCAGAAAAAGACATCGAATCGCCACCTGTTGCTGAATCGATAGGTGCTATTGTACGGCTCGTTGATGGGCCATCTCCGTTGGAGGGAAGATTGCAACTATTTCATCAAGGTCGATGGCGTTCCGTTTGTACCAATTCGCGAAAGTACGTTAGATTATGACGAAATAAACAATTGAACAATATACTTTACTAATAATGATATTTGAACAGTTGGACTCGGGCAGATTTAGAGACAGCGTGTAGGCAACTCGGGTTTCAAGGTGGTCGCTGGTGGTCTTGGATCGATCGCCAATGGCCAGCAGAAGCACGTTTACTTTACGAACAACCGCGTTGTCGTGGAACCGAATCTTTTTTGACTAATTGCGATGGTTGGTCTGAAAGACAACTTGGTGCTGGAGTTTGTGGTAAATTTCTAAAAGAAAATTGCTAGTGCTACTATAATAATAACATACGACGAATCCAATTTAAGAAATTCTCTCAATTGTCAGATTATCATCCGGATCTCGGATTATCTTGTTTGCCACGACACGATGGATCCAGCAAAGCTATTAAACATTGGCGTGGTATTAGATTCGAGGGAGCTCTTTACGATCGGCCATTGATTCAAGAAAATACTCTCTACGTAAGAAGATCTAAATCGATCTTACGACACGTGATCATTCGGTGAGTAAAATCGTAAAAATTTCTTTCATACACATGTGACAGATGTCCTATTGTATTTCCA